GGGTCATTTTCTTGTAAGTCTTCTGGGTGCATTTCCTAATTTCCTCACTTCCTGTGAGGCCCAGGATAATTGCTTTCTTAGAAGATTATAATACAAATTTCAGTAGTGAGATTAGCTAACAGGTTAATTGTAGATATTTGTGGGTTTTTGGGCAAATTTGTATTAGTGATATACAGTTGCCGTAAAAATCCTGAAGAATTTTGTTATTCAAAGGGTTGGCCGCGCCTCAAAGTATCTGAAGATTTAAATTATTTTTAAACTTTTATTTGTGGTTCATTAACCGTAATTGGCTTTGATTTAAACGGACGTTTAGTCATAGACATTGTTAGTAGGTACAGTAAAAAAAAATATATACCATTTTGACTTGTACTAAATCTTCAGGACGTCTAACTACTATAACAGAATTTGTACTATGCACATTGTACAATTGATCTTTTGTGTATATACATAATATATATGTAAATTTATTCTATTTTTTTTTTTTTTTTTTTTGAGATATCTTGACCATTTAGAAAACCTATCTTATTTTTAGAAGAAAATACCCTTCACCTACCTTTTGACGGCGGTATCGGAAATCAAATTCGTTGCCGTCGAATTCACTTAGGCAGGTACTTTTCGGCCGATTTCTTTTTCTTTGGCAGTCTATGTGCATAATATTGTAATGCACACAATAATAACATAAGCTCACAGAGCAGTGAACAGCGTGGGATTCGCAGTGGCAGTCGCCCGTTAAAGTATCCCGCGGTTTTGTCGACCAATTACGGTGCGGCGGTGGCGGCGACGGCGGCTGGTCGATAAAGGCCAGCCAGATTATAATAATGCATTCACATTATTATACTATATAGTACCTAATAATATAATATATTACGGCTGATTAACAGCGCAATAATATAATAATGTATTTTAATAATCGAAAATATGGTCGCTTTTGTGTGCCGCCCGTTTTTCGCGCATGCACCAAACCGTTAATATTTTTACAATAGTAATTATTTGATTATTATCCATCCTTTCCGCTCGGTTGTCGGGTCACCCTTTCGGCGAATCCACTGGAAACTATATGACAAACAGTAATATACATATAATATAAATGTCTACTTCGGGTAGTCTTTGAACGGGTTTTGGTGGATTCTTACGTTAGAGCCCTGTTATAATATAATATAGACTAATTTTTTAAGATTTTTATTTAAATTCCTTCGTTTCCTGTTTGAGCAAAAAGTGAAGAGCAAATTCATTTTTGAACTTTTCCAATTTTTTAGTTTTATAAAATATGTTAAAAACGTATTTTTTGAGTGATTTACAAAACTTTCATTTCCATACAAATTTAAAAGCTTCTAAAAAATTAACTTTTTTATTTACAAATGATTTATTATAATGGAAGCACATCATACTTGATTTTATAGCTACAAGCAAAAACTTTATTTGCTTTTTTTTAAAAAACAAAGCGTTAACTTTTTTAAGATGAATGTATACATTTTTTTTTATTTATGACCGACCCCGTGTAGTTGAGAGTGTAAGGCGAAGATGAACAAGATACATTTAGTTTTATTTAGATTAATTCACTCCGAAAGTTTTGCTAAAAAAAAATGTTCCTACATTTTTTATTTTTAGATTACGAAAAAGACAAAAAATGTTTAATTTTTTTTTTCATTATTTAATTACCCTCGAGTATAAATGGGTAAGACTTATGCGAAGTGCTTTTTAGACTGTACAATTATATTAAATAAATTACCATGTTTACAAGTGTATAAATGGTTTTGAAATGGAAATAAATCGGTATAATTTGTATATTATACAGAGACAAACTTTCGTTCAAACTGGAAGACGAAGAGATTACATAAAAATTTCAAAAAATTAGAAAATATGAAAGAATATTTTTTTTATTCATTTGAAACTTAATTGCAGAAATCCAGGATGAAAACAACATAATGACCACCCATACATATATTAGGGATTTAGGGCAATTGTTATTTAGGAACTGTTTTAATTTCTACGGTGTCCCTCATTTGCCTCCAATTTGAACTCTCTTAGCTAATACAAATGTCCACCTTTTGCTTGTCATATATAAAATATACGTAGATTTTTTTTTTTTTGCAAACTTTAATAAATAGGGATTGATTGTTGAAGAAAAAAGATACTTTATAAATCTAACGGGCATGAGCTATACTTACAATTAAAAATGTATAACTCATTTGTATAACTCTAACCGTTTTACTCATATTATATTTGATAAAACTTGATCCGATATTTTGGAAATAATTATAATATCCGTTTAGCACAAATTTGGATACCGTAGGATTATGCAGGTGTAATACTAGTTTGCAAAGTAGGACTTTACGGTTAAAACATAATCTAGATTTAAGGATAGGTAATTTCTAAATTTGCGTTTAAACCTAATATGGCGAGCTCAAATAAGGCGCTTGTCAAGAATGATACGTTTCAAACTGGGGGCATTCCTTTGTTTAAAATTTTTTACAAAAAAAAAAAAAACAATGAAAAAACCACGTGTATTATAATATAATATGGAAAACTCTTTACAGGGGGACATTTGAATTGGATCAGGGAGTTCATATCGGGAGTCAAAATGTTTCTTTTTTTTTGCCTAGAACAAAGTGTGGGGCGGGAGAGGGCGGCACCATAGAAATTAAGAATTTCCATAAAACATAACAATCAACCTAACGTATTATATTATATAATATGTATGTATCGAACTTGACGGTTTCAAAAGTAACTCCATTTGCTACTGCAGCGACAAACGTGGTCTTTGTGCACGGTCTTGGCTTTACAGAGGCTCGATCCGAAGAAAATCGATAGGTCACTCGCCCAATTATTATTTAAGTCGAATTAACCGCTGCAGCATTTGTATCAAAACCAATTTTCCGAGTAATTACGAACGGCGCGAACACAAAAGAGTTTTTAAACTCGAGACTTATATAATGAGAGTAAGTATAGAATGGAACAGCGCGACAATTCCGCCAGTATATATTGTTTCTAAGTGCCCTTTTGAAAAATCTTTTGATTTCGCGCTAATGGAAAACAGTTTCCCTGAGCTCGCTCTCTCTCCCTCTCTCTCTCTTGGCTCGGCCTACATAATAATAATATACTATAATGTATTATATGTAAATAATACCATTAGTATTATTATTTGCAAGTTCGATCGACACATTTACACACTACTAATATAATAACTATAACTGTACACATAATCGCGCACGCCGCACACAAGATTATAGCAAAACCCGAGGAAGGGTGCAATACCCGAACAGTGCAGGCGGCCTAAGGTCTTTGATGAACTCAAGGAATTTGTGCCGACAATAACGAAACGAACCGTTTGTCCCGGTCAATACCTATCGTGTCAATGAAAACGCCTATATTATAATATGTACATTATAATAAAGTATCATGATCCGTCGGTGTCGCAGAGAACCGTCATCGAATAATAATATACACACGGCAGACCACCGTGGCAGTGTGAAAATAATATGGTTACTTTGTGCCAACTCTATTCAGAATGATCTTCATTGATTGTATTTTTTGTACCATAACCACGACGATGAGCTCCGTTTAACAGTCTAACACTATGATATTTTCAAGTCACCAATGGCCTAGGGCGGCGGCAAATTTTTTACCCAAAAGATAACTTCCCTTACGAGCATCGTTGTTGGCTGGTCTAGTTTTCCCTGGAGCAAAGAAGCTAAAAATGTATTATTTTGAAAAGTTTAGCTGTCGCGCTTGCCCTCGTTTAGTTGCAGTTACTAATCTTGTTCTTCTAAATAAAAACAATAGTATTATTGTACTCCAAATGGGTTATAAGTTATAACTTTTATTATGTAACTTATAGTGGGGACAATTATTTATTTATTTCTAATACAAATTACAATTTTTTCCAAGCTTATAATTTTTGTGCTGCGGTTTATTTCCAAACTTTTTATTGATATAGTAATAATTCAAAACTGATTTGGAAAGATCAAATATAAGTATACAACATAAAGAATCATTATCGATTTCGTGTAGCTAAAATATATTTTATAGACGATAAGAGACATTAATATTAATATTAATAGGCAAGAAATAATTCTCATATCCGCTTATAAGAGCATAATATATGTTGGCTGAATATTAAATCGACCACTAGTAGTAGATAACACGTTAAGTACTTTAAGGTTCAAATATTCAACGAGGTACGTACTTCTCAAAGGTTCAAATTATTATTATTAATTTTCCATCTGTGTTTGTATAAGTGTTTAGGCCATAGTGCTAAAACGGCTTAACCCACAAAAAATAAAATTCCGTTTAAGTGAAAAACGTTTTAGATTTAAATGATACTTTAAAACCTATTATAATAGTTATCAATCATTTTTTACGAACTTCCCATATCATCCCAAGTTGTACTAATAGTGTCAGTCTGGGCTTAATTTATTTTTTTTTTACTGTAGGACACCGCCAATTTTTGCATTACTATAGTTAATTGTGTATACAATACACTGTATTATATTTTTTTGTAAAAATGTTAACTTGTTTACACAATGATAGAATGTAAACGCTGTTTATTTCTAATACAAAGTAGCAAGTACACATTTTTGTCTACGGAAAAGATAAACGTTTTTAGAAAAAAAAATTTTTTTTAAAGTTCCTTACAACTTTGGAAGCGATTTAAATAATAAAATGATGTGTTAAATTCTAATTCAGCAAAAACGATTCTATACCTACACTGTAAATCTGTTTCAAAAGAGGTGTCTATATTTTTGTTAATGTATAAGATTATTATTATACAGATATATAAGTAGTACCATTTATATCCATACGTTTGTAATATATCAAAGGTCCAAAATTAAGCAGTTGTCTAAAAACTATAATTGAAAATATTTCAATAATGAACACGTATAAGGATTATATGAATATCGTTATATTACTATTATAATAAAATAATATAACATTATTTTAAACATTTTAAAATAATTTTTTTTTATAAAAGTAACATATTATATTCTTAAAAAAGTTAACTAGTTAACTTGCACTGTATAATCGACTTTTATTGGTAAACTAGGGTCCACAATGTTGTTATCATAACCGTCCATAAGCGATAAAAACTGTTTTAATGTGACAGATGTATCTGGAAATCATTAAGAAAGTATTCACATTAAAATTTACGAATATTATAACATGTTGTAACATATTTAAATTGACTATTGCAATTATTATTTAGTTTTTATATAAAATATGTTTTGGCCATTGTATTATTAAACTTTAAACAGCAATATTAAATTGTTTACTTATTTAGTTTTTGATTAATCAAAGATGAAAATTAACTTATCTAAACAATTTTCAAGGAGATAGTTGTAAAATGCATATTCCAACATGAGTCAATTTAGTCGAACTATTATAAAGGATACTACAACAAAATTGATTTGTACAATTTGCAGAAAGAATGTAAGGGATTTACATTTCATAATTTATTCTTTATGACTATCTTATACAGACGGCTTCTGTGGTATAACAGTGCTGTTCAGAGATATTGTAAAAAACACAATATCATATTTTATAGTAACTACTGAAATATTATTGCTTAACGTGCCTGGAAAATCGCTTGTCATTTCATCGACTTCTTGTTCGGTTATTCCATATATGGTCAGTTTTTTCTTCAAGTATATTTGTATTTCATCTTTGTTAACTCCGTCGTCTCTATTGAAATCATGAGACCATTGTACCATGCTATAAACACATTTGACTTGCTAAAGTCATTTCATAATTATTTTTAATACATTTGTATATTATTATTGTAGAATTTCAATATTAAAATATACATAGTGTCACACGAAGTATTACTAGTATAATTTTTACTAGGCTTATGTAGGTACTATAGGCTTACATTACATTTGTTATATTGTTTATCACTATATCTAATAGTTATTAATTGTAATTATTGAAATTGTAAAGCTGTAATGTTTTTTTTAAACGAAAGCTAATAGATTTAATTAAAAAAGTTATAACATATTTTCTAGGTTATTGTATGAATTTTTAAAGTTACTCTTTGAACCTACACCTTTTGTATTATAATTTTTAACTGGAACATAACTTAAAAATATCAATCACTTTGTATATAGATTTACAGATTATATAACATGTTGTTGTAGTCAATAAACTCATAATTACTTCTTCAGATAACTTGCCGGCGTTTGCTACTTGGAAATAGACAAAAAAGTATAAAAAGATAACATACATTTTAGGATACATTTAAAAACTGTTTACACGTATATCGAATCTTAACACTTGAAAATTTCAACTTAAATGATTCTTATTTTTTTCTAGTAGCTGGTTTTAGAAGCGAGATTTGCTCGTAAAGCCTGAATAAATACACCGATATTGTGTTTGTTGAATCGGCTAACAATATGGCCTATGAATCAGCTATGTTGTTTTTCTTAAAATGTTTTGCAGAAAAATTTAACTATAATGTTCTTGTTTTTTTTTTCTATTAGCCGCTTTTAGAAGCGAAAATCTAAATAAACACAAATATATTGTGTTTTTCGAATACGCTAACATTCCATATTGCAGTAAAACTAACATTAGGGCCTATGAATTAGCTTTGTTGTTTTGCTAGAATGGTTCAAGCATAACAATATCGAACAGAAATTCTATAGCGTACTGGTGTAATCATATGAAACAAACATCTTAAAAATAATCGCCCACAAAATTTGTATGGTCATTTACCTCATTAAATGGCTAAGAGGCGAATTCAGACGAATGGGGGATAAGGAACTGGATGGAAGAGCGAGTGGAACGTACAGGGATTTTGAAGTTTATTTGAGAAAGGAAGGTAGGGGAATACATTTTTCTTGACAGAACACGGGTAAGGAATGACGTCTTAACTGCATGCCTACGGTCAGATAAGGAAGGAAGGTTAAGAAAGTTTTGGACAGGAGCGAGTAATCACGAGGAGGACAAGGGATGTGAAGACAAAATGCTGCCATTCGTAGAAAGCACCTCTGGACTCGTTCGATCATAGCTCTGGCCCTAGACAACAGAACTATATTTTAGAATAGCACAAGAGCTCAGTGTAAGGCTTTAAGAGGATAGGCGAGTGGGGAAACTCAAGAGACGTGCGATTTAAAAATCCGAGAAGTTTTATACCACTATAAATATATAAATAATACATATGTAAATTATATAAATATGATACAGACGCAAAACGCTCATCGAATATGAAAAAATAACGTTATAAAGCAATAACAAAATATAGTATCGCAGATGTGCAAAAAACAAGTTGTTTTGAACTACATATTACTTTGTTTAGACAACAAGTAGTATTGGTTGTATTTTAAGTATCTAAAAGAGACAGTAAATACTTAGATGCAGTAATAACTAAAATAAAACAAAAAAAGAAGTAGGTAACAAGTTTTCAAAAATCCTTACTGTAATTTTTTTAAATTTAAAAATTAAAAATTATGTGTATAGAAGAAAAACGAATACAGAAGTGCAATCAATTTATCAAAAACCCGGGATAAATGCTTACCCGATGAGCAAACTACTCCTATGGGTAGATCATGTCCGGAGGTCAAACGAAATATTAAATACAGCCCCTGTAGAGATAATAAACAGTTAAATATCTAGACAGAATCAAGTATTCCCCTATCTAAAAAAATTATCTATCTATGAAAAGTAGTATTTATCTAGTACCATAGTAGATACTAGATAATCTGGGAAATTGTATACAGTCAAAGTGTAAATTTAATTCCCACTCTAGATCTGCTTTCAGTATAATATGTTCTGTGACTCCACTGTGTTAGTTTAACTACAAATTTTAATTTAAGTAATAAAAAAAAATGGATTAACGGGTATTATAAAGTTCTGCAATGGTTGCCTTTAAAATATTACAATAATTCACATAAATTGATTTTGAAATAATTTATTAAACAAAATGTTATTTAATGGTATGAACACGGCTGGATACTTTGGAACATATTTTAGATGTTCCACACTGTCTGCAACACGTTCCAGGGGAATGGAAAGGGATATTTGACAAAAATAACTGATCTAAGTGACATTTTAAATATGACAAATAATTCTATGATAATAAAAAAATTAATTTGTCTAAAAATGTATTAAAGAAAAAAATGTGATAATAGTAATCGAAGAATATTGACAACGCGTCTACATTTCTTTAGCTAAATCCATATTATTAACGATAATGTTAAAATTATCAATAAAAATCAAGACTTTTTTAATCTTAATTAAATTATTAAGTAAATAGGAAAACTAGAAGGGCAAAAAGAGATGTCAATAATACGACCACAAAATAAAAATTTATCGAAGGAGTAATAATCAAAGACGGAATGATGCACAAACCGATAAGACGTTTTCAAGTCGACATATAAAGCTGGTGATATATTTTATGCAACAATTTCATCACTTTTCTGTTATCGTTTATATAAATATGAAATAAATTTGCTAGTTATTAAAATAAGTATTCATAGTAATAATAATAATATCAATTGAAAGTTCATTAAACATTAAATTATTATTTTTAATAACATTTTAATTAAAAATTTTAAGTATTCAACTAAATTAAAATAAACTAAACAATAGAAATTAAAAACAAAAAATAACAATAAAAAAAAAAGACTTATTTATCGACATCTTTCCTGATCGTGAAAATGTAATTATAATTTTTGCAAACGGTTTAAACTCGATAAAGGGATATGATATTAAACTTTAATATTTACATTTACATCGACTGTTGTTACATTGTTATTGGCAATAATTCTTTTATGAGAAAAAGTTCCAAAGTTATGATAAAAGTTTTTAAGCAATTACCATTGCTTATTATAACTACTTTTTATTACAGCGAATACTTTGATGAATAAAATCTGCTGTTTAAAATCAATTTAAAAAGGTAGCGAAATATATTTTAGTATTAATAAAATATATCGATTTTTAGTACTTTGAAAAACTTTCGGTTCTCCAATAAAAAAATAAAAAACTTAAAAGGTAACTTATATTGAACGAACAGAGCAATGTCGAAAATTATCAATATTTTTATTAGTTAGGGTGGTATTTTATTAAAGGCATTATTGTTGTTATTTTTTCTGATGGAGGATGTCACGTTTTTGATTCCTAATCATACGTGATAGATGCAAGGGCACTTTACCCTCTCTGTGCAACTCTCTCTTTACAAATTTTCAACCCTATAAAACTGTCCATTGACAGCTATTGATGTGTGAAATTTCCACCTACTCACTCTAGTTTCCTATACGTACGTGCCATTTACTCCAGTATAAAATATAATATAAAAAAATATTAAGTATAGCTCTATACTTAATTTTGAAAAACACAATTCGCGTTCACACATTGTTAAGTCGTTTAATGTACACTTATTGTCATTATAAATCACAATGTGGTGAAGGTACTAAGGTAAGGGCGCAGCGTGGAAGTACATTTTATTTTTTATTTTCTTCCTTTTTTTTTTTTGAATGAATTATTTGAGAAAATAATAACTGAAAAAAAAATCTGAAATATTAGAAAAACATAAAAAAAACAGTTTTTCTGCTAATTACAAACGTTTAAAAAATTCTAAATAATGCAAAAACTATTTCTTTTTGCATAGAAGCATTTGATATTTTTTTCAGATTTTTAAGTGCTTATTTTTTGCCATTTTTCGGTAATCTCAATTGGAGGTCTTATTTTTTTCGAAATAAACTAAAAACAGCATAGTCCATAATGGAATAGAAATTCAAGCGTTTTAACAAATTAAAAATGGTTTATTTCCTTAATAATATACCCGGAACAAAAAAAAAAAGAAATTGTAAAGAAAACGGTTAATTCTAACTTAAATATAATTTTAACTTTGATAATATAATATTATAGCCTTTATTAAATAAACGCGATTTTTTAAAGCGTAATTTATGGGCGTATTAAAATAAGTTTTCTTATTTGAATGTACGTTCAACTTTAAACAAATTTATTTTAAAATATGTCGACCACTTTATTAGGTACAAAATAGTTTTGAAATTTTCATAAAATACTCGCTCACAGCTCACACATAACCTAAAAATTTACGAAGATCAAAGTGTAATTTTCCCAGTCTTTTATTTTTATTTTTATTTACACAAAAAAAATGTTGACAACAGCTCTTTAAAGAAATCCTATACGATATATTCTTGCTCTAGATCTACCTTTAGTCTAATTTTCAGACCTTAAGTCCTAAGACTACACCTAAAACACTATAGACAATTTTTTTTTGGATGTCAACGTTTATTGATAATAATAATCTGTGTAAGAATATTTCACAAGAATTTGGAACTAATTCGACTATTTTTTTAGATATTATATACATTTAAAAAAAATTGATTTATGTTTTTTTGATTTTTTTAATATTTAACCCATTGAGCTATTCAGGTAAGTTTTTTTGATTATTAACTGCTACATAAAGAAATCAGTTCAGCGGCTAAGTAGGTCCAAGCACAAAAAAATAAAATTACATCATTTTAAAAACAATATTTTCTCAGCAACGAAGCTAAAAAAACAGCAATATTCCAAAAGGTTAAAATTATAATATGAAATCGTATACACAAATGTATTTTGTATGTCATACGTTTTATGTGTGTACAAGCGTTATTACGTTTTGTTAATTCTCTAATATACTAAGCATATAATACCTATACAATAAAGGTTAAAAACATAAATTATGCGTTCAATATTATAAATATGCTACAACAGCGCATATTATAATATTATGAACTTTTATTTGATTTAGTACAACGCGCTATATTATAATAAATGATACAACCTGGATGAACAGCCGAGGACCATTGAACGATTAAATCCCCTATTTGTATTGAGACCCCTGATATTATATATGTAATTCCATTGTTAACGTTATTAGGTTATGCACGGTGTCGGTGATCACGTGCAGTAAAACGAACAAGAAATTTTGATTGACTTCCGTTTTTAAATAGGGTGATTTTATATTCGTATTAAAGGGTCAACGTGGTTATAATTATTATGTAAGCGAATGGACCATAAAATGTATATAAATACCACTTTTTTTTATTAAAAAAATTCAAAACGTTTTGTTCGTTGATATTTTTGCTACAGACTTAATTAAATGCATAGTTCTTTTATTTTTTTTAAAAACGTAATTACAATAATAAAAAATTCCATACAGGGAATCATTAAAAAGTATAAGACATCAATAAAAAATGTATTTTTCTCGTCTACCTAATTACTAAGTTTACTAATGTTTACTAATTAAGAAAAATGTTCTTACTGAAACTCAGCTA